TGTACGAAGTTTGACACGGTTAGGATGGGACGCCGAAGTCAGGCGGGTCTGTCTGGCAGGCACATCGCGCGGCGGCATCATGGAAGAGAGCTCTGAGGAGCAAAGTCCGTTGGTGTAGCGATAGAAAAGAGCCAGATCGCCGACGGCCCGCCGGTGCGAAAGAGTTCCGAGACTGTCTGTTAGAGAAGAGTCATCGATCAGTCGGACCGCCCTCCTCTGGACAGCATCGAGCATGGACAATGTAGTCGGGGCGGCAGCACCCCAAATGTGTGAGCAATACTCGAGGCTAGGCCTTATCTGGGCCTTGTATAGAGTGAGAAGGTCATGCGGAGAAAAGTACTTCTTAGCCCTAAACAAATAGCCTAGCTTTTTCCCAGCAGCTGCAGCTATTGAAGAGATGTGTTCGTGCCAGATCAGGTCCTCGGTGATCTGGACTCCGACCAGCCGAAATGAATGGCTCTTTGGTAGAACTCGACCGTCCATCGAAACTGTATGAGCGCTAGGACGCTTTTTGTTCGTCAAAGTACAGTACTGTGTTTTGGAAGCATTGAACTGTACAAGATTGTTGCGTCCCCAAGCAGTGATAGCCTCCAGGTCTCTTGTCAGAGAAGAAGTCGTCGCTAGTCTTCTTTTTTCCAGCTCAGCGGCAGAGATCGACTTGTCACTCTGAATTCCTGCATGCAGAGTGCTGTCATCAGCGAAGCTGTGGATTGGGTTGATCGTGCAGGAAAGGAGGTCATTGATATGTAAGAGAAACAGTGTTGGAGCCAAGACCGATCCCTGGGGAACACCCGCGTTGACGTTGTGAGATGAAGAGGAGAATCCGTCAATTACGACGGATATCTTGCGGCCAGAGATAAAGTCAGCCACCCATCTGCAAAGCTTTTCTGGGAGGCCGTAGGATGGAAGTTTGCTCAAGAGGGTAGCGTGCCACAGCTGATCGAACGCTTTCGTGATGTCAAGAGCAACGACATAAGCCTCACCATGAGACTGGATGAGTTTACTCCACAGTTGCGTGACGTAAGCTAGCAGGTCCCCTGTGGATCGTTGGTGCCGGAAACCGTACTGCCTGTCGCTAATCAAGCTGTGACGTTCGAGGTAGTCCAGAAGCTCGCGATTTATGCACCTCTCCATCACTTTACTTATAACAGAAAGCAGAGCTATAGGCCTGTAGTTGTAAGGGTCGGTTTTAGATCCTTTTTTTGGGATGGGCTGTACATGAGCAAATTTCCAGTTTTCTGGGAAGGTGCCGGATTCATAAGATATCTGGAAGAGACGCGAAAGAACTGGAGCAAGCTCAGCTGCACATCTCTTCAGTACAATGGCAGGAATCAAGTCCGGACCAGAAGCTTTGTTGATGTCGAGCGACAAGAGCACTCGTCTTACGGTCTTATGCCTGAATGTTACCTCCCGCATAGTGTGGGGAACCCTTTGAATTGACGGCACTTGGGCGTTGGTAGGGACGTCCATGGTGGAGTTGGCAGCAAAGATCTTGGCTAGCACTTCCGCCTTGGCCTTTGAGTCGAATACAATAGTTCCATCCTGACACGTAAGTGGTGGAAGGCTACTGTGTGAGAAGTTCTTTTCAATCTGCTTGGCCAGCGTCCAGAAAGACCGACTACCATTGCGCTGCGACATTACCCTGTGCCTAACTTTTATATCATGCTGGGTTTTGGCATTGCGAACCGTTTCGTTATATTTGTTTCTGGACTCGACGTCGGCTTGTCTATTCTCTACAGTGGGGTTTTGTAAGTAGGTTCTGTGGGCCTTGATCTTCTGCTGGCGAGCAGTGTCACACGATTTGTTGAACCAGCCGTTGGACCCTGGTTTAGGAACTTTCACTGTGTGTGGGATGTATTCCTCCATTCCGACGTGGATAATTTCGGTTATTGAAGAACAGACAGTCGAAGCATCCGCGTCAGTGAAACAGACATCTCTCCAAGGAAAGCTAGAGAAGAAGTCTCTGAGCCCCTCCCAGTCGGCATGTCCGTAATGCCAAGTTTTGCGGCCTGTGCGAGTTTCTGCTGCCACAGCGGCTTCTGACCGAAACCTAACCTCCACAACACCGTGATCTGAGTTACCCAGGGGGGACAGGACAGCAGTGCTGTAAGGGGCAGGATGCGTGGTCAGAAAGAGATCCAGCAGGCTACTGGCGTGTGACGAGACCCGGGGGAAAAAAGTAGGGCTCGTCACCAGCTGGGTCAGCCCTTGAGTAAGAGCGAACGCTTCGACTGCACGACCTGCTGCATCGGTCTTATTTGAGCCCAACCAAAGCTCATTATGGGCATTGAAATCACCGAGAAGAACTACCTCTGAAGCGGGGTGATTGATGTTCAGGAAGTCGATCTGGACGGCGAGGTATTCGAGTAGGTCATCCCAGTTATGGTTCGAGGGAGAGCGATAAAGGCAGCAAATAAATTTGGGTGATGTTTTGGAGTTGAGGCGAAGCCACAGAATGTCCTTCCGGTCTGATTCCAAAGAAAGATCCCTGGAGCAGGAAAGACTGCTGCGGACAAAAGCCACAACTCCCCCGTTCTTTCTCAGATTGGAGTGCACCTCGTAGTTTGGGAAGTTGAGATGGTTGATCGGTGCAGTCTCTGAGATTTTTGTCTCCGCCAAGAAAAGCACGGCGGGACGATTGGATTGCAGGTAGTGATGAACAGCATCAATGTTGCTGTTGATCCCGCAGATGTTCGAAAAACAAATTTTATCTTCGATGTTGTTCCCTCGAGCCCACCCTCCACCCGGACATTCCGAGAGTGGAGTGAGTTTACGTCCGGAGTTTTTAGTGCTCGAGGGATCCATCATCATTAATTTCTTTGTTTTGGTAGATAACCGACTGCATAGCTTAGGTGTGGAAACATGCGGACATTTATAAGACACCCTGGGAAAAGCTAGCGGGTGGTACTGCCTCGGTCGACTGGTCCTTGTCTACCACCTTCTTTTTACGTGTTAGTGATGTTAGATAGACCTTAAGTGGCCCGTTTTATTAAAATAAAACCATTTAAACTGGGTGTTCGGATTTATATGTCACTTATCATTTCAGTCCCATCGGTGACCTTCTTCAGTACATTTGACACTTTTTTGACAATGTATTTTATTTGTCTATCTTTCAGGTGACATATCCTTTGTTTTTCGTTTCACTTTGATATTCCTATACAGCGTGTTGCTACAATAGTCTGAGAGGTCGGTTCCAAATTTTGATGGTACCACGCAAAACCGGCATAGCCCAGGACTGCTTGGTGTAGACATTCCCGCTCCCAGAAGGAAATCTGGCCAAAACCAGAAGCGACAGATAACCTCAAATTCGCTTGTTGTTTTGGACAATGCAGGTGTTATTTTGCCACATCATTCCTTTAATGTATTTGATCAACCAAACATGGGGCTTTGGCTTTGACCAAAAATTGGCTTCGATCAGGACCTACTTATAACTAGAAATATTCTAGTAGTGGAGATTTAAATATATCTTGGTTGCTAAGGGATTTTTCGCGTGCCCACTCTAATAGCTGCGCATTCCTATATGGTCAGAGAAGTCGGAACGCATAAAGCGATGAATTAAAGCGGCATTTACATATATTTCTGAGTGGACTTCGACTTACTGGCTGTAATGGCGGATTTTACGACTGTCCGAGCACGAGCTAACGAGTTTCTTATCCATTGTTATGGAGGAGATTTGTTAAATCGCGAAGGCAGACGCCGACGTTGGTAAAAAGGGGTCGTTGTTTGCTGGCCGGTCAGCAACGCTGGAAGAGCAACGGCACTTTAGACCATAATAATAATTTGTGTTTATTTGTGACAGCAATATCTTTGTACATTTAAAAAATAAAATCAATATCAAATAACGCATGAATAATCACTGAAGCTACATACTCGTATGCAGCTTGTGTATGATTTTTTTAGTTACAAGTCAGCATTTTTTGTCCATATTACGGGTTTTGTTATATGGAGGTCAATTATCTACAATAATAATAATAATACTTTGTCGAGTCCATATCTACTCAAGGTCTATACTTATTACACTAGTTGCATATTGTTTAATTTTGATGCAAGATAAAGAAACTGCTTCTGTCCTACTGATGTATCTCTTCGAAGGATCCCATAACAATGTTCCTTGAGACGTGTATGCCATTAGAAATACTTTGCAATTGAATTTTGTCTGCATTGATCTTCTTTAATATAATAAAATAGTAAATTTGTCGTATATCAAGAATGGAAGTTTCGGTGTATAACATAAGGTAAACGTTCCAATTATCGTCACCTTACATACCCTGGGCATCATTCTAATATATTTAATAAATAAAATACCTATATCATCTTATATTCTAATTGTCAATTTGCCTAATAAAAGAGTTATCATATCACATAGTAATATTTATTTTGACCTAAAGAAAACACATCATATTTACAAAACTAATTAAATAAGAAGTGTGCTATGCCCGCATTATCGGCATCCTAAAAAATAGACGTGTTCCAGTTTTCGGCACATATAAGATCCTATTGTTGTCACAATGTTGGATAAGTAACCCAAAATATATTAACTAAGTAAATATCTAAGTAGTCACTAATAAAATATGTTAACATTAATTTCAAAATTTTAAACTTATATTGAAATAATAAAAATGTACTTTCTAAAAACTAAACGTGAAATTAATCGTTATTAATCTGTTGGTCACTGACAAAAAGGACATTGAAATTCTTCTGTATCAGCTTCTGTTAAACCAAGACAAAACTCATGGTAGTATTTTAGACAGTAATAACAAAGGCGCATGTCCAGCTGATCGTCAGTCTCGCACAATAAGCAATACCAAGATTCCTCTGAAGGTTTTGATGTTGAAGGTTCAGTAGTTACAGGTCCATTGCCTGCATTTGTGGAAAATAATTTTTTAGTAACATTCTTTAATTTAGTTGTCGCCCTGCGATTAGAAATTCTCCTTTTAGACACGTTTTGTGCAGCAGTAATTTTCAATTTCTTCTTTTTGTTTTCCAATTCTTTATTTTGGTCACGTTTGTTCTTTCTTTCTATTTTCAGTTGTTCTTCTTGTTTTTTCTTTTCTTCTTTTTTTTTGATAGTATTGTTGCCACTGAGATGAAGTTGCTACAGCAGGTACTTTATTCATTAGTTTGTGCTTAGCAATATTTTCCTTAGGTGTAGGCCAAAATAAAGTTTGTTTGAATGGAGTCGGAATAGATTCATCTAAAACATTTTGTTGTAAAGGCGACAACTCTTTTTCTGAATTCGAATTTGGTTCGCCTGTAGAATCCGATTCAATTTTAGGTGTCGGTGTCGTTTTAATTTGAGTAGTTCCCATTTGTTGAAAGTTCAGTTCCAAAAGTGAAGAATGCTGCTCTAAAGAGTTTTATACAGGTACATCATGTTGTGCTTTGCTGGGTGTATTTGAAATTATTATGGGAATATCTTCAGCAATGCCTATCGAAAGGGATAAATTTGTACAGTCAATAATTCCTGTAACATCAATTTCATTGTTATTGTTTGCCTTCTCAGCAAATGCGCCTTTGACATTTGAGCCTGCCTGAAATTCAATATCTACTTCTAATTGATCATTTATCAATTTATTATTTTCATTGATTTCTGTGGCATCTATTTCGTTGTGAATTTCTACGTCTGTAAATGTATCTTCCATAATAAAGTCTTCTTGAATTTCATTTTCACTTTGTACTAGATCAGAAACCTCTATTGCATTGTTGTTGCTATTCACTGTTTTGATCTTCATTTTCTTCCAGAGTGAAAACAGGCTAGTGTGCTCTACTGGGCCTTCCCAAAGTGGACCGGAAAGCAGAAATAATCTAAGAGTCTCTTTTGAGATGTATTGCTCTAAACATCTTAGGACTGCTTGAGCTTCTTTAGGCTGTTCATGGTTCTCTTGTTGTTTTTGTGCTGCGATTTCCGTTTTAAAATATTTTGAAAATTTTATATTATCAACATTAAAGGGAATAAGTCCGCAGGTCCTGAAGCCATTCTTAATTTTATCGAGAATATTTGTCATTTTTTGAAAAGTGCATTCCAAGATGGGCGCAAAGAAGTCTTTGGTAATCTTCTGCCCTTGGTTCTCCATTCTCCATCGGTGCACGCTCTTTTTCCATTCAAGCTTTAATGGTCGAAATACGGCCACATCTAGAGGTTGTAAAATATGTGTAGCATTTGGGCAAAGAGCTATAAGGATAATATCATTTTTACTACAAAATTTACTGAGGGCCATAGTTAGGTGGGATGTATGTCCATCCAAAAACAATATAACCGGAAACTGAACTTTTTGAACAACTAACCAAGGGTGAAATATATTAGCGATGTACTCGAAAAAGGTTTCACCAGTCATCCACCCATTTTCAGACTTTCCGATACCCCAGTTTCCTGGAACTTTTTCGACAACGGAGTTGGGAATTCTTTTGTAATTATAAACGATCATTGGCGGTAAAATTTGACCGGAGGCACTACACGTAACCAAAGTCGTCAGACATTCCTTCTCATTATTGCTCACAAATGAGTAAACTGTTCTATCCCCCTTTTTAACTAAAACTTTGTCTCCTTTGGGTGTGAGGAAAAAAGCTGTTTCATCACAATTGAATACACGACCGGAATCAAAAGTTATGTTAAGATTGTTTGTGTTTTCTAAGAAGGTCCCTACTTCTATAAACCACTGACGAATGCGGTTTTCTGTTAGGCTGTTTCTAGCACAAGTGAGGTTTTGGGAAATCCTTGAAGCCAGTTCTGGGTGCCTTTTTAAAAATAATTCGTACCATTTCCGTCCAGGCCTGCCATCTGCGAAATTATTAGGCCTATGCAATTCTTTAAGCAAGAGCTGAACACTATCTAACAACTGTGTTTTTGTTGCTGGAAATCCATATGCTGCAATCCGAAATAACCATTCCACCAGTAAATTTTCTTCTTCCCTGGTTAGTATGGTCCCTGGTCCACATTTCTTGTCTAAAAGTGTTCTTCCTTTTACTTTGTCCTGTAGGGTCGATCTGGGTACGTTGTATAACTTGCTAGCTGCTTTAAATGGCATTCCTGACTGAACAGCGTTAACAGCTTTATTTATATCTTCGGTAGAATATTGAAGTCGTTTAAGCTTGTCCATTGTGATGTAATTTTAATCTGAAAAAAAGAATCTCCAATTATCGACACCTTATGTTCATATTATCGGCACTTTTATTAAACCTCAAATTTAAGCTAATTCTAGTAGATATATAGAGTGCCGAAAATTGGTGTGACATCTCATCGATGTATGCTGCATATAATAACCAAACATTTTTCATGATAAATTAAGAGCTGAAGCTAAAATTGACCTAAATCCAGTCCAATACGTATAAAGAATTATCGGCATATCTGCCGAAGATTAGATCATCAATTATTGTTTACGTACCCATTATCGGCACCCATAAAATACACAAAAAAACCCAAAGAAAAACAGTTTTTTACTAGCAAATAACAAACATAATAATTCCTAAACATATAAAACTTAATCAAACATTTACACGAAACGTCTATCAACAATTACAACACGATAATGGCTTACCTGTTTCTTAACACTTGCAACAAGAAACACTTCAGACAAGAGTTTGGCGCGAACTGACCACTATATTTTTGACTATGGTTATTACCGAAATTGGCCGACAGTCATTCGGTTCTGCAGAGGCGTAGACAAAGGTTCGCAGAAATTGGTGAAATAGTTTTATCCAACAATCTTGCGATAGAAATCTTATTTTTCGGGATTATGTAGAATTTGTGCCGATAAAAGGGGTAGTGCCGAAAATAGGGACGTTTACCTTATTTGTGGGATATGTTATTTTTTCCTCATATATTATTTGTTAAATCCATGTTTGCCACACCTCAAGGTCTTTTAAATGTCTGTTGGTTACTCCCCATCCACTGATTCCACAAGACAGCTGCGATTGCGACCAATGCTGTGTACAGTATCTTTAAGTGATATTAGCTCAGGAAATCTTTCAGAAGCCTGAACCGTGGAATTAGGCCTCTCATTTTTTTTTCAAATGTAAGCAGTTTGTAAATTCCATCTCAAGTGCTTGTCCACCATGACACCAAGGTATTTCACACAGTCTGACTCATGGATATTTATATGTGTCAACTTGCAATGTTCCTAAATTGGGTGTAAGATGTAAATATTAAATCAGTAGCTCAGGGGTAAAGAGTCGTAAGACCATTTTGACCCAATGTTGAGGTATAGTAATATTGCCTCATAATTAAAATAGCAACTAAAGTACACTATTGTGAAGTACTTACTTATTGATGATAATATTTTTAATTGTGAAGAAGGAATATGTCCGTTGAAGCTGTGTTGAAATCTTCGCTTGTGTTATCCATTACTCGAAACTTTTTTGGATTTACGATTGTTCATTTCTCGGGTACAGAAATATTTTGTTTTATGACAATTTATTGGTAATTTATTGAGTCGGAGCCAATCAACTGATGCATAAATTACACCGGTGTCATATGAAAAGCTTATTATATGAAATTGACTATTTTTTTGAAGGAGTCTGTTCATATAAACAGTGAATGACAGCGGCCCAAGGTATGCACCCTGTGGAACTCCACAAACTGCAGTCTTTGGACGGCTAGTCATACCACTCATACCAACAACCTGCTTCCGGTCTGTCAAATAACTTGTTAACAAACCTTTAGCTTCTTACCTTATTCCATTGACTTCTAATTTGCTTATTGGCTCACTATGACATACAGTATCAAATGCCTTGGATAAATCAAGAAAAATGCACAGTGCTGGTATTTTTCTTGATTTACAGGGTATCGTCTTCATTCCATAATGTCAACGCGGTTGTTCCCCAGGGATCGGTCTTGGCTCCAACATTGCTCCTCTCACGATTGTGACTTGGGGGCTAGTTGCTCGGCGCTGAGCAGTATCCTTGTCTGTGAAAAGAACGTATAGCCGCAAGTACTTACAAAAAAACTCTATTAATATAAACATATAAAAAAGGTACTTACTCTAGTTCAGAGTTCCCCAAACTTTTTTGTGTCGTAGACCCCTTACCTGATATTGATTTCCTGTAAATTTCTAACTGTAGTGAAGTTTAGTGTTAAAAACTTAAAGTAAAAACACATGTTAATTTATACATTTATTAATTGAATTTAAATTAAAACTACTCAAAATAAAATTTTGTATCTGTTATGTAAAATATACGTAACATTAAATAAACAGGTGTCTGACCAATAAGTGCCCGCATTGGGAATAAGTGCCCGAATTGAAAAGAAAATAAGAGGGATAAAATAAAAAAAAGTGAAAAATAATAAAAAAAAGTTTTTTACTTAAAATAGTACAATAAGCGAGTTCGTTTATTAATTATAACATAAACGTATGTTCTACAATAATTTCACTGTTAGTTTTATTAAATTCCGCTTCTTATACGTTTAAGTTATCTAAAAATAGGCAAAAAATTAACGAATTTTAGTGTGTACCTATCCTTGAATTTTCAGAATAATTTAAAAAAAAATATTTTCTATAAAGGGGGGTTCTTTAAAAAAATCAATGCGGGCACTTATTCCCAATGCGGACATTTATTGGTCAGATACCAATAAACATAAACTAAACTATAAATAAAATAACATAATAAGTCAATATTTTTAGTGAGAAGGAAGAACCTGATGCTTTAATAATAAATTATCAACATTTGGCGTCAATTTTGTAAGGGTTAATCTTAAATCTCCTCGGCTAATGATGTCCAGTCTGTTTCTTTTTTTCGTTAGGAGATTGGTAACAGCGCTGAACCCCCTTTCCACTAGGTATGACGATGGAAAGGAAATTAAAAATTTCCTCGCTATATTCCATAATACGGGATAAGTAACGGGTATGTTGTTTTGAAGCCAGAATTGCTTATATCCGTTTTTAAACTGAACCTTAAGTTCTTCGTTTGTACTTAGTTCAGTTCCTCTTGTATTATGACATTCGTTTCTTCTATGTCACCATATGGATTAATTATCCACGGTGGTATTACCATAGTCAAAATATCCTCAAACCTAGATTCAAAATCTGAATAGAGGGCATTTAAATGTTGAACGTAAGTTGAAAAGTCGTCTTCCTGGCAGCTTGTCTGTGACAAATTGGGGAACTGAGAAAATTCGCCCCGTCCAATATTTTGCTTCATTAGTTTAACTCTGGCAAGAAACGCTGATAAGATGGACTTTGTTTTAATCAAATTTAAACTGTCGCCTTGTAATTGCAAATTAACCATATTAAATTTTGTAAACATATCTGTTAAATAGGCGATGTCTGTTTTCCTCTTCATTAAATTTAAAATTTTATCTTTAGTATCCAGAAAT